GTCATATTGGGACTTGAGTAGCTCACTCATTTCCTTGCTGTCATCTGTGTAGGACCCATCTTGTTTAAGTAGGGGCCCAATACTGGACGTTGTTCTCGATTTTGATTTGGCATAGGAGAAGAAATACTTTGGGTTTCTTTCGATTTCATTTATAGCTTTTAGTTCTTCCCGCGATTCCTGACTCCTAAAGGATTCTTTTAGCTTAAGTTCGATGCTTGCTATTTCTCTGACCAGTGTCTCCCTACACATTTCAGATATATTGACCTCTTTTAGCCGCTCTGTTATTCTTTTCCGTCGCCTGTAAAGGGAGCGCCTGTCTCTTTCTATTTTACATCTACTCCTCCTTTTTCTTAGAGGAATAAGCCTTGTGCATACATCGAGTGCCACCGAGTTAATCTGTTCTAGGCATAAGTTGGGGTCTGTGTTGCTTAGTATATCTTCCCAGCTTATATCGGTTAGGACTTGGTTTACTTGGTCCCACTTTATGTTTTTGTTATTGAAGTTGAATTTGGTGAATGCTCCCTCGTGGCTAATCTCATTATGTCGGTCTGGGGCTCCGCGCATACATGACTGAACCTCAATTATGTTGTGATCTGAGTATATTGTTTTTGATATGGTGACATTTCTTATCAGATCATCATTGTTAGTGAAGATGAGGTCTAGTGTATTCTCCAGTCTAGTAGGCTCTATTATTTGCTGGTTTAAATTGAATTTTGTGCAGAGATTTAAAAGCTCGCGTGAGTGTGTGTTTTCATCAGAGCTGCCTCCTGGTGTTATTACTGCAACAATATTATTTGCTATATTCCTCCATTTTAGGTGCCTTAAGTTGAAATCCCCCAGGAGCAAGATGTTTGGTGCAGGAGCTGGAAGATTTTCCAGACAGTGGTCAATTTTTAACAGCTGTTCCTGGAATTGCTGGGATGTTGCATCCGGAGGCTTGTAGACTACCACAATGACTAGGTTTTGGTTCTCGACCTTTACTGCTAAAACTTCCACTACATCATTTGAGGCATTTAGCAGTTCTGTGCAAACAAGTGACTCTGCAATGTACAGGCCAACCCCCCCCTTTTGCCTGTTCACTCTGTCACATCTGTATAGGTTATAACCTGGGATCCATATTTCGTTGTCCAAGTGATCCTTTATGTGGGTCTCAGTGAAAGCCGCGAACATTGCCTTTGCCTCTGCAAGCAGTCCGCGGATGAAAGGTATTTTGTTGTTTGTTGCTGGCTTTAGACCCTGTAAATTTGCAAAGAAGAATGTTATCGGACTGGTGGTATTGTTGGTACTGGGGAAGGATTTTTTTTTCCGGCATTAGTATCTGTATCTGTTGGTTTGGAGTGGAGGCCATCGACTGTGGTTCCACTCCAGGAATGACTGGATTTGGTGTACGATTTCTGCCATTTCCTGCCAGTTTTTTTTCCTTCCTGGCACTAAAAAACCTCTCCCTCTTGAGTGGCTGTGGCTACCCAGGTTTTCCCATGGCCTGGATGTTTTGTATCTTTTTGTCCCCTTTAGATGGTATGCCTGGCAATTTAAGTTATAGCACAGTCTTTCCTGTACTGAAGAGGTACACAGTTCAGGGTGAAAAAGCTTACAGGAAGGGAGTTTGCATTTTCCTGTTGTCATATGGGCATGGCATTTTCTAGGGTGGTCATAGTTGCACGTCCCATCTGTTTTTCCAGATTTCCCATGCCAGCAGATACCGAGTGCATAGTATGTGCACAGGCTTGATTTCCGTTTGCCTTGGGTTTCTGTGACTGTATTCCCTGTTGGTGCATGTTTCCCTGTCTTACTTCTATCCTCCCTAGCACCAACAATGGAGCTCCCACCAGTTGTTTTTGGTAATATATCCTCACTATTGCTAGTGGAGTCCTCTTGTTTGCTATTTCCTGCGGTATTTCTAGTTTGCAATATTGGTTTTATCTTATCTTTGACTACACTTGTTTCCCTACTATGGCTCCTGTCCCCTATGAGGTCATTTATGTATTCCTTCCTGCGTATAATTCCCGACTCCCAGGACAGCATCTCCAGCTTCACCATTACTGTCTCCCAGGACAGCACCTCCAGCTTCACCATTACTGTCTCCCAGGACAGCACCTCCAGCTTCACCATTACTGTCTCCCAGGACAGCACTATCAGCCCCACATTTACTGACTACCAGGACATCATCTCCAGCCTTACAGTTTCTGACTACATGCCCAGTATCAAGGGCAGTACCATTCACCCCAGACTTTTTATGTTCCCATCTGTTGTAGAAAGCTTCCAGGTTTTCTATGAAAGCAGCTTTGATGTTGACCTCTTTTAATACCCTTGTGATTTTAGTCCACAGATTTATCTCATTTGGGCATACCCAAAAACACTTCCCTGTTTTAATACTGCTTGTAGCTAGTTCTTGGATATCTGCACAAGGGGCGTGACACCAATTTCCACAAAATTGACAATTTATGCATGTGGAAGCCCGTTTGTTTGACTGACCACAGACTACACACAGCTTCATAATGATTTGAATGGTTGATTTACTGCAATTCTACTAGCAACCTCTTGAATATTCTATTAATAACCTACTTGCTGGAAGTATTAAATTGTCGGGTAAGAGGTAAGTGTTTAATGATAAACTTCCTTTTCCTTGAGTTAGGTTTTCTTCATTATTTTCCTTCCTGTCCCATGTCTAATTTCCATTGATCACCCCTCGTAGCTCGATTGCTAGCGCACTCAGCTCACATACTGAGGTCCGGGGATCTATTCCCTGGTACGGCTGGAAAACTTAAGGACGTGTTTCCTCAAGGCACTTATTTTCACCCATCAGTAAAGTGGGTACCTTGGTGTTAGTCGAATGGTGTGGGTCGCATCTTGGATAAAATTGATCTAATTTCCCCGAAATGCTCTAATTTCCCCGAAATGCTCTGCATAACAAAGGGTTTTTTATATAGTAGTATGTCATTGATGTCAGCTAGGCCTGTATACCTTGTACATGTAGAAATAGATACGTATTTATTATTGTCCCATGGGATACCCCCACTTACCCTCATTGTATCTCTAAACTCCTTTCTCGTTTCTTACCACATTACATCCTTCTCTTTCTTCACTCTGCATTCTCTGCCTTATACCCTACATCACTTCCTTGCTTCTTTTCTGTCTCAGGGTCTAGTGGCTAACGCGACGGGCTGGAGTTTTGAGACTCTATGACCGCGGGTTCAATCCCGGCCGGGGGTATGGTTTACAATAGTATATCAGAAGTGGTAGTGCGAAAGACCCTCTGCATAATTATTTGATGACCGAAAGAAACCTTCTTGCATGTAAGAGTGAATTGGTAACTGACAGATGCATTCTTCACGTATCTATGAAGCAGGATAGTTGCTACACATAATTAGAATTCACGAAGGTATACATACCTGGAGGGTGTTCCGGGGTCAACGCCCCCGCGGCCCGGTCCATGACCAGGCCTCGCAGTGGATTAGGGCCTGATCATCCAGGCTGTTAGTGTCGGCCGCACGCAATCCAACATTCAAGCTACAGCCCGGCTGTCGGTACTAACTTTGGGTGCCTGTCCAGCTTCCTCTTGAAGACAGTCAGGGGTATACAGTGGACCCCCGGTTAACGAACTTTTTTCATTCCAGTAGTATGTTCAGGTGCCAGTACTGACCGAATTTTTTCCCATAAGGAATATTGTGAAGTAGATTAGTCCATTTCAGACCCCCAAACATACACGTACAAACGCACTTACATAAATACACTTACATAATTGGTCGCATTTGGAGGTGATCGTTAAGCGGGGGTCCACTGTATTTGTAATAACCTTTGTGTGCTGGGAAGCAGTTGCACTGTATTAGAGTATAAATATATGTCCTGCTAGTGGCTCCACATGAATCGCTATTTTTAAAATAAACCCTGATAAAGGTCTCCCTCGAAACTACGGCACTGTGGCTACCCAAATCTTTCTCATTTTCAAGATGAGACCACAACATATAAGTCTTAAAACAAGATACTGCATCACACTAGGCCCATTTCAGTATAACTGGATAAATTGATTGTTTTATGTTGGTGTGCATAGGATGGCAGTTTTAGTCTGTCTTGGACCATTATGAAGTTGGGACCTTAACGACCCTGAACATACAAACTTTGTTCGTTTTTTATTTCTTAATTTGTGAGTTAGTTGTCAGTGGGGTCCTGCCTCCACTCCCATCAGGCATATGGTAATAATCTTAGGGAAGGCTTCCATATTATTTCGGCTAGAACATGTGATAATTAAATTTACAAAATAAGTTTAACGTGTACTAAGTGCTTGTAGTGTTATTAATAGCATCACAGCGTGGCACTTGTGCACATTTAATAGGTAATTACAGTATGAGAAGAGATGGCACTTAGTAGTGCCATGTATTTTAATTTGTAGCTAGTGACAGTAGTTATGTAGAATTTTGTTCACCATATGCAGATAATTTTAGATAATTGTTTGTGGATAGTAGTCATTTCTTGTAAAATTAAAGGTTTATTTGTAATATATAAACATTTTGCCTTAAATTATCTCTTCCCATTTCTTTTGCACGCTGCTTCATCTGGCTGTTCAACACCTGGACTTTGGTATGGTGTATGTTTTCCTCCTTTACCCATAATGGCACCTACTTCACCTTGGCCATTGATCAACCTTTTTTTTTTCCACTTGGTTGTGGATCATTCAAACTTCTTTATTTTATTGTAACTTTTGTTACAAATGCAATGTCATTATATAATCTCATTGATCCTTCATATGGTCACTTGTACGAAACGTTAAATGTATATATTTATCATTGATTTTTCTCTTTGTATTACTTGTACTGTATTTTATGCTTTACTGAATCTGCATTGTATATGGAATATGCACTCTTAACTTAAATAATTCATGTTACCATCTTTGGCCTTGTTGTCTTTGGGACTTCCACCTTTTTTTTTTTCTCACGAGTTTAATTTTACCTGAATTATCTATAATCTTTGGAACCCTATGTGCTGCGGAGGCATTAAATCAGAGCTGAGACATTCAGCAACAGTACACGACGGCGGGAGACGAGGGTCACTGGCAAGGATGGAAATACTTTGATCAGCAGCGAGAGAGAGTCCAGCTCCACCAGGTGCTTAGTATTATCTTCCAAAGTAGGTGGTGTATCATTAAGTGACCCTTTCATACAAGAGTCATCACCTCAGCTTGTATAATGAAATTTGTCTGTCATTGATTAACGTCAATTGACAGTTTTGGAGATGGTTCTCAATTGGATATGTATCTTCCTCCCCCCCCTCCCATTCTCTCCTCTCTTCAGTTTTCTTTCTCTTTTTTCCATTTCTCTCCCCCATCCCCTTCAGGTTCCTTGATGCCAGTGAAGGCTTTTGATCCAACGAATTGGACTTGGCATTCCTGGATCGAACATAAATACTTCTCATTTCCTCATGTTTTGTGTAGCGCTTAGTTTTAGCATTCTCCCAATTAATGTAATAATAATCCCCCCTCCTTCATCTTAAATTTTAATTTGGCTTCTGGAACATTAACATTCTCAAGGTCTTATCTGATTATCTTGGAGTTCAGGTTGCTGGGCTCTCTATTACCCAGTGTCAGCAGGGATAATCTTATTCTTTTATCCATCAGCTTACCCCTTACCATTGCAGATGCTGGACCTGGTTAATCACCTGGGAATTTTCTTGGAGAGCTATCTTTGGGCCTTTGCTAAGAGGAGCTGGGTCTGCACCATTTCATGTTTGATATATGCCTAGGACTCTTGGGGAGGGGGGTCTGTCAGCTCGGCGGGGATAGCCTAGCTTAGTGCCTTTCAATGTCTTCGATGTAGTCCACCCTCCTGAATTGTGGCATGCGCACGACTACCATTTAAGAAATGGGCTCCCATCCACCTAAATTTACATTTGATGTTATCGACGTAGGTAGAGGATGGAGACCATTAAACTCGTTGCACATTTTTTTTTCTTTTCTCTCTCGAGCATGAATTTATTCATGAAGCACAGCCGCGTCCACTCGGTTTACCCTTTCTTGTTGGGTTTGACCTTGCACTGGGGCATTCAGATTGTACCCAGTTTAAAAGCCTCTTTAGATTCTGGTGGCGGCTTGCTTGGGAATATAATTTCTGGACAACAAGGCTTCTAAAAAATCGAGGCTCTCCCCGCAGTGTTTGGATCCAGGTTATCTTCGTGGATGAACCAGGTGTCTGTAGGCAGGAAGGTTGGATTTTTCTCCCTACCCTGTCAACAGTAGATGGGGACGTTCTAAATACAGAACTTCCTTGAGCATGGTTAGATTTCATGTTTTTAGGGTAAGTTTTTTCAGTAGGTTCAAGTAGTAGTAGTTGGTGTTTACCCGTGATGCTTTATGTACTGTTCCTGTCAATATTGCTGGGCATAATGAATCCCAACTCAGTTTATTGAAGTTTTGTATGTTGCACTTGCGAGAAATCTCATTTTTCTAAGCTTCTACAATGGTTATTTCTTGTGCTTCTAGGTGTAGTAAAAGGCAAGATGAATCAGACCTAACATTCTAAAGATTCCTCAAGGATTTTAAGCATAGGATAAGAGCTTCCACTGCCACCTTCTGTTTCTGGGGTGCCTGGTCAGGGAAGGAAGCCAACTACAGCTCATGGCTTGCAGTAGTGCAAGACAGGTATACAATACCGACAAGATGAAAGTTAAGACATGTGCAACATCTGGAAATCTTTAATGTAGACGTTTCGCCATCCAGTGGCTTTATCAATACAGATTCTTGGACATAATTAGAAAACAGAAGAACTATATACAAAAGATAAGGTAATCAGTCCCTCAGCCTTGGAGGTGGTGTTTACAGCACCAACTATGGTGCTGTAACACCATCTCCAAGGCTGAGGGACTGATTACCTTATCTTTTGTATATAGTTCTTCTGTTTTCTAATTATGTCCAAGAATCTGTATTGATAAAGCCACTGGATGGCGAAACGTCTACATTAAAGATTTCCAGATGTTGCACATGTGTCTTAACTTTCATCATGGCTTGCAGTTACTGTTCTTCTGTAGCTCTATACAAAGTGCTTGATAAAAAATCAAATTTAATGTAACATCATCCTTTGGGGCCCTGTCGGGTGCCAGAGCCAGTGTTTGCTTTTGTGTCCTGACTGAGAAGGTCCAGAAGCAGACCAAAAAGACTTAAAATACTTGGGCATGTTGGTCCTCTGCCTTTAGCTGGATCAGTCTCTGATGATCCACCTTCTGAAGGGTCTTTGCCATCTTAAGCAGGGAAAGAGCACCAGATGCTTCACATTATAAGGGAAAGTCACTCTCCCAAATGAATTCTTATAAAAGCCCACTTAAAGGGGAGGGGGAGGTATCTCCTTTCTCACATCTGAAAAATCTCCTTCCTCCGAGAAAGAGACCACTTCCTGGAGGACTTCCTTTTCTCCATCTGTTTTTAGCCTATGGATAACAGACACTGCAAGCTGCATCTGTAACCCAAGGCCAGACCGCAGAGACTGGTAGCATTCCTCCAAACGTTGCAAAGATGGCAACTCCTTAAGCTTCCTTTGGGCAGTGGATCTGTTGAGGCATTAGGCCCGATATTGAAGACCAATTGGTCAATCTCAAAGAGAACAATCTCTTGAGAGATTGACCAATTGGTTAGTTCTGTTTGCAGGAGACTAATTCTTAGGCAGTGCAGTTATACCTGGGGTTTCAGGTTGGCTTTGTGTGTGTGTGCTTGCACACACATGCTTTCTTTGTGCATTTGCCAAGGGAAAATGTGCATCTTGGTGTATACTGTCTTAGCCAATTGTGTATGCATTCTTCCTTGCACCCGACTCTGCTGCTTGTACTTACCTCCCTATTGGAGTATAACTGGAGACGGTTTCAGGGGTCAACGCCCCCACGACCAAGTCTGCGACCAGGCTTCGCGTTGGATCAGGGCCTGATCAACCAGGCTGTTACTGCTGGCCGCACGTAGACTGACGTACGAACCACACCCTGGCTGGTAAGGTACTGACTTCAGGTGCCTGTCCAGCGCCACCTTGAAGACAGCCAAGGGTGTATTGGTAATCTCCCTTAGGTATGCTGGGAGCTAGTTGAACTGTCTTGGGCCTCTGACACTTATTGTTATCTCTTAGCGTGACGTGACACCCCTGCTTTTTATTGGGGGGGGGATGTTGCCTTGTCTGCAGAGTCTTTTGCTTTTTAAGGGAGTGATTTTCGTGTGCAAATTTGGTACTAATCCCTCTAAGGTTTTTTCAGGTATATATTATTATGCATCTTTCCCACCTGCATTCCAGGGAGTATGTCAAGAACTTCAACCGTTCCCAATAATTTAGGTCACCAATTTCACCTGCCTTGAAAGGTGCCGTTAGTGCATACCAGTATTCCAGCCTAGAGAGAACAAGCTATTTGAAGAGAGTCGTCATGGGCTTTTCTTCCCTAGTTTTGAAGGTTCTCATTATCCATCTCATCATTTATTTAGCAGATGTGGTGGATACATTGTTGCGATCTTTGAAAGTGAGATTCTCTGACATCATCACTCCCAGGTCCTTCACATTAGTTTTTCGCTCTATTGTGTGATTGGAATTTGTTTTATATTCCGATACAGTTTTAATTTCCTTAAGTTTTCCATAATGGAGTAATTTAAATTAATTTTCATTGAACTTCATATTGTTTTCTGCAGCCCAGTTAAAGATGTGGTTGATGTCTGCTTGGAGTTTTGCAGTGTCTTCGATGGAGGACACTTGTGCCAACTCGGGTGTCATCCGCAATGGAAGACACAGTACTGTGACTTACATCTCCATCAGATGGGAGGATGAGAAACAGGATGGAGTGAGTACTGTGCCTTGTGGAACAGCTTTTCACTGTGGCCACTTCAGACTTTACTCTGTTTACTATTGGGCTTAAGAGAGCACAGCTATTAAGTCTTATTCCTGTAAGCTACCTTGCCCATAACTTCTGGGTGACTTAACGCCCACCACCCTTTGTAGCATGCGAGTTACTGTGCAACACAAGAGGTATTCTTTTAGAGACGTGCTGTGTACCGTGGATGTTACCATCCAGAATGCCCCCAACATGTTTGTGAATGCCTTCTAGGGCATAGACCTGTTTGTTCCAGTTGTGTGTATCTGGACTTCAGGTGGTAATTTTATCAATTTGCATATTAGTGATCATTTCTGTCTTTTGGAATTGGCAGAAGAGGAAAATTTGCCCTCTGCAGTAGACACCCAAGAGGCTCAGGCAAAAACCCGTCTTGTGAGTTCCATGATGTACAAGTGAAGGTGGGATATCTTGTATTCATTTTTGGTTTTGTCATTGGCAGTGTTGGGGCGTGGACTACGAAATCAGGTGGCTCTGGGTCTTATCTGCCAGTCCTTGGTGAAAAAGAAATGGGAAGCACTACCATATTGTGTACAGTGTATTGTTGCCTCATATTAGGGACCATTAATTGCTGGTTAATAAACCAATAAACCAGCAGGTGTTAGCCATCACAAGGAAGGCATTCAGAAGCACTTGGTATATGTCCTGGGTCAGTTACATACATGGAAGGGGATAATTCACTCCTGAACTCATCTAGGATAAGATGAAAAAGATGTCTTGGAAGTAATACCATTTTGGTCAGGGTCCTTTTGGAGCGGATAGCACTTTTTCTGAGGGATTATTTCTGCATTCTATGCACAATGGCTTCAGGAGAGACTGTCCATTTTGTGTGTGTGTGTGTGGGGGGGGGGGCACTAGAGCTGTGAACTCTTTAGGCTGGGAGAGTTGTAATCTACATTATTGGCTTTTCCCATCATGGCTCTTGGGACAATGGCATCAGTTATGATTCATTGCAACACCTCTCCCTAGTGTTTTCACAGAACATATTTAATGATATTTAGGCAAATGGAGTGCTTAACTACAGTGCAACCTGTTCTGGCTTTCTTAAGCAAGGCCATGACTCAGGAAAGCTGTGAAGTACCAGCTGATCTGAGGCGCTGCATCTGCAAGTTAGATGTTAAATTATCATCTGGTCTGGTACTTGGAGACAAGACTGCATCTATTCAGTACAATTTGCTTTCCTGTGTTTGGTGTTCAGGTGAGGGCTGCTCTTCTAGATGACCTCGATAGCCTGCTGCCAAAGAGGTCAGCTTCTCTCCCT